CTTCTAAATAGGTTCCATTGTTAATTGCTAATCACACTTTCCATTGTCCAACGTGACCATTGCCAGGGCGATTTGACTTGGTTTGGCAACTTGCGGAACCTTGACTCATCTAGATCGAATCTGAACATGTTGTTTTGACTGCTTGTCAACGACGTAGATCCTTCTGAAACCGACTTTCTTCATCCGGTAAATTATGAAATTCTCGATCTCCTGGGAGGATTCCTCCAAGAACTCAACACCACCGTGCGCAGGCCCCACGGTGGGCGCCTACACTAGTTTTCTTCTGGAACAGAATGGGAACAACGAGGTGGTGAAATATAGAGCCTATTGTAGCACAAGGGTTCATACAGATACCCAACTATTCTCCAAATGTGGAATCTCATTTCGATAACTTATATCATTGGCAGTATAAAATCATCTATCTATGCAGTTGATAGATGTGGTGATCACATATCCATATGGATCACTAAATTCACACATAGATGGTTCCCAATGAAATCTCATTTTGAATTGAAATGTAAAATGCACCATACATTGTGTAAAATCAGTAAGTCACCAGCTTATTGTTGTCGGTACATTTTGGTACAACCGACGTAGTGAGTTCCTTACATGCAAGGATTACTCCTACAATGATGATTACCCATATGTGCTCGTCATACACAAGGATTACTCCTGCAATGACGAATCACGTGATCATCTAATCGACGGAATTTGAGATGAAGGATTTGGGTTAGACCTCGAGGACCTTCACTCATGCATTATGGTACACCATATTGTCTATATCCAGAATATATTGGAGAAATTCATTGTGGACAAACTTTATCCATCCATAACTACCATGGTTGTTCAATCTCTAGATGTAGAGAAAGATCCATTAAAACCATGAGATGATGGAAATGCGATATTGAGACACAAAGTTCCATATCATAGTGCCATTGGACCCACCACACATAATTGGTTGGGACTCAAGAATATCTTTCAATGTCTCCAATTCATCAAACATCTTGTCCTAATCTTTTAGTTTCAGAGAAATCTGGACACAAATACCATTGGATACATTGATCAGGTCCCTATCATGTCAGATCGTAGAGCTTTGTATTCCTGTTAGGTGTGGTAGTCATCCCATGAAAGTCTTCGAAACAGACCTTGGTGGCTACATCCACAAACCATTATCTCTAAGATAATGTTGCTTGTGTTGTCCGGATGCTAACATGTTACTCTCTTAACACTTATTTTGGGACGGAGGGAGTACAGAATAAGCAATATGACTATATTGCTCATCTTGCAAGTCAAATCACATGGCTGATTTGTTTAGAGTCTTTACCAACTTCAACATTAAAAAAAAATATGTTCATGCAATTGGTATGTGACGATTTCAAAATTTGCAAAAATCAAGGAAGTATCTTCCTGAATTGTTCCTGTCCAATGCATCATATTATACTCTTTTTTCCTTCATAAGTTTACTATACATGTTCTAATAAAGGCTTTTAACAAGATAATATCAACATAAGATCATATGTCATATTTTCTGTTGTTTTCATAGGGTTTTTTAAGAAATTATATAGGACATATTTATTGTCCTCTAAATTCTATGGGGTTTTTTATATTGAGTTGAAAGAGACAATAATTGTTATATGTTGCAACAATTTCTCCTTATTTATTCCACTGGATATGCATGAGATTTAGCAACATATCAAACATTATACTCCTCATATTTTTCCCACAGGATTTTTAAAGGAATCTTTCTCAAGATGAAGATGATGAACATTATCGACAAGCATATACAAGGAGTCTCATCAAGATAATGATGCTCAAAAGTACAAGCTGTGATTAGAGGGAGTGTTAGGATTAATTAACTAGTGCCAATTAGTGGGTTAATCCCTGCTTGATAAGAACCATCAGCACTTGCCTTTTGGCAACCATTGCGACGGTTGGTCGCATCCCTCTGTACATACGCCTTTTCATAAGCGCCTCTTCCCCGTGTATAAATATCAACTTCATCAATAACGACATACACATGATTCATTTACATCTCTCGATTTCTACTTTAAAAATAACAAAGAGAAACGTTAGGTGGTATACTCGCCAAACCAGAAGTTGTATAGATTACAAACTGAAATAAAAACCATTACCAGTTCCCAGGATTATTACGACAAGCCATCCAACAAAAGAGCAAAGAAGAACCTTTACATTATCCCGCTTTCTTGGTGTCGAAAGTGGAGTGGTGGCTTAGGGATCCAGACTTATACACAAGTAGTAATTACAAAGGCAGTGAGAGATTAAAAACAATCATAGTGCTCGACGTCAAGGCGACTTGATGGTATGCCAGTGTCATGAGGCACGCAAGAGTTCCTGCAAACAAGAGGCAACACTTCAGTGTCTCAATTAAGTGCGTGTGCAATGTGAGGCCAAACCTGGTGCTAAGAAATATGCTTTTAAGGTCTTAGAATCAGCTCTGACGTTGCGCAAGGCAATTCTAAAGAAAAAAGATTGGGTAATTCAGCAGTCTATTTCCACGTTTCAACAGACTCCAGGAATGTTATCCCTGGGGATGTTTTCTTGGCACGAAAATAAATAGTGAATATCTTTGCTTCGGTGCTACTCCCTGGGTCCTGATTAAATGTTACGTTCTTAATAATTGTGTAAAGCTTCAATGACTAGGTGCGAGACAAAAAGCATTAGCTTGCTGGATTTTACATTTGTCACTCGTGGCCTTGTGACAAACACCTTCATCATTATTTCTCTTATGTGGTGCCTGCCTACACCAGAACCATATTACAACATGTAAAAGCTAATACATAAAACTGTAAGTTGCATAGTGTTTAGTCAAGTCGGTGCTATACTCTGCGCTGAACCCCCCAAGAGGAACAAGTTCATCGTTTACCATAGAAATAAATCTTCAAGATACAAAAATTGCAACCATGTAACAAAGACAACAATACAGAAACAATCATCTAGTTACTCTCATGAAAATAAAGAGATCGAACAACTCTAACAGAACCATGTCCTAAAAGATGGCAAAATTCATACAACGTATTACGCGCATACATACCCAGCTCACTGCAAATCAAACCTGATTTGCAACCAGCCCCAAACCAGGAAATGTTATGGATGTGACTGTTATATAAGTGGTAACATGTTCTCTTTCACTAAAATCCATTCAAGTGATGTAAGCAGGTAGTGGTAGACTGGTAGAGGAAGGTAGGGGAGTGGAAATAGCGGAGGAGTTTGATGCCCATCTAGCAGCAACCAAAGTTGTTTATCGGGAAGTAAATTTCAGAAAGCAAAACCTTAGTTATATTAGTTTATTTATGACATGACTCTCCATGGTGCTTGGGTAGTAACATTGTTATCTTATTCTGCTGCTCGGTAATGTCATCAGAGGCTACTCCATACCTCCATGATACAGCGACTCTACTAAACGTCCTAAACGCCCTAGCTGCACAACCTGTCTTGACAACATGACCACACTACCGCTGCCACTTCTCTTTAGCTGGGCTTGCTAGATTGCAAACTAACAGTTCACCACTAGCAAATATCAGTCAATTAATTTAAGATCAATGCTGGCTAGCAATATATCTTTTAACTACTTAAGTTGAAAATTAGTTGCATACTCATAAATGTGGTGATCCGTTAGGGTTGTTTTCTGTTTACCCGACATGCCAAGCACCACTTCGCTGTTCAAACCAGTCCATCCTTGTTACCAGAGTCTAGAGAGCGATCATGGAAGGCAAAACAACCAGACTAAAGGACCTTTAAAACATCAACCAGTGTACTGTCTCTAATTACTCATTCGAGTTTCCTGTAAGAGACTTAGGGTTATATTGTTCTAGCTCACAGTATGAGATGCATGTGGTTCTGCATGTTGTAGAATATAGTAGTTTACTTCAATTGATCGTTGGCATAATTTTTGCGGGGCAGAGTCTGATATGCAGTAGAGTCAAAATAAGATCAAAAAGGGAAGTAATGCACAAGACTGACTGGCTGGGCCATTTTCAGCTTAACAATCACTCGGAAAACCCTTGGTGCCGTGAACGCATTAGTGAACCTGAACATGCAGTAAATGAATGATTATTTACCAGTACAGTTCAATAATAATGACATCAGTTTGATAGAACAGCATGAGATGACCAACTGATGCTTGACTCGAGAAATGAACTGAAGTGTGGAAGCTCATAATTCTTGAGTTGTGCAGCAATAAAATAGTAGCCTTTCATTTTACACTGCAAGGATCATGGTTCACAACTAACAACCTTTCATTTGAAATTTCATTCACATTTTTGTACTTCTTCCATGGCAGCTAACTCAAATTATTCAAGAATTATACCCTGTATCCCTGTCCTACTGTCCAAGGTGTTACATAGCATTTTACAGCTTGTATTCTTCAGTTGCAAAGCTACTTTGCCACAAGCAAGCATGCCTTGACTTGATTCCAATGCTAGTAATGAAAGCAGCTGAGATATTAATTAATGACCGCAATACCAAAAATTATATTTTGTTTGTCTGGAAAATATCTTGATATTAAAGGACTATAGTTGGTTATGGAAAATGGAATAATAAACAAGCAATAAAAAAGGTGAAATGCAAAAAAAAAGCAGCAGTTACGCGTCCAGATATAGCGCAGTGCAATTGTAAACAAGAAATTTAGTTGAATTCCACTCTGTAGTTACTGAAGCTAGTCAAAATTCAAAACAGTTGGCACTAAACCAATCCAAATTACCACCAACGACATCTAGTCTTTAATATGTCCATATCCTTCCAACCTAGCACTATAAAGCAACTATAGCACTACCAGTCTACCACCACATGGCATATGTGGTAAGCTATATAAAAAAACCAACATATCGAAGCAACTATAGTACTAGTGTGCTACTGTGAATTGAAAATCAAAGAATCATTAGAAAGTAGAGGCTCTGTTCTTTTAAGGTACAAGCAAGCAATAGGAAACAAAGAGGCATGATATATCAGCAGTTCAGCACTAGTAATACCTTGTTATAGTACTACGAGTCGGCCTTGGCGGGGCATTCGAGGCTGGCGTTGAAGTGGCGGGCGGGGAACTTGGCGGAGACGGAGCCCACCTCGAAGACAAGCTCGTCTCCATCGGCGCGGATCCCGGTGATGGACCACCAGCGGAAGAAAGCCCTGACGCGGATGCCGCTGAGGCCGGAGATGCGACGGTCGTCGAGGTGGCCGGTGAGGTGGTCGTTGAAGTTGGCGAGGTAGCTCCCCGCCGGCAGCACGATGCGGCAGCTGGAGTCCAGGTCGACGGCGAAGTCCCCCGAGCCGGCGTCGAGCGTGTACCCGCGAACGTTGGCCGGGAGTAGGCCGCGCGGGAAGCCACGGAGGCGGAGCTCGTCGTAGGCGGTGGCGGTGGGGGTGGGCCCGGAGGCGTCGGAGCGGGCGAGCGGGAGGAGGAAGGCCGCGGCGAGGACGGCGGCGACGGGGAAGACGAAGAGGGGGCGGGATTGGGAGGGTTTCGCCATTTCGGTGAGCGAGGCCTGGAGGGGAGGGAGACGTGGAACTGTGGAAGAGTCTGGAGTCGCGCCGGGAGGGGTGGCTCATAGTTAACCAACACGCGGGCTTCTTTCCTTCCTCATGCACACAGCCGGTAGTTGACTTTTCCTTTCACTTCTTTGCCTTATATACCCAGAAAGTTTTGATAACGCTTTATAAAGCAAACCATCACAATCACAAGGTACAACATAAATCCACATACACAAAGTAGCACAATATAAAGTACGGGAGGGTTCTATTGAGGTTCACTTCTTTGCCCTTTTGGCCTTTTGCCAAGGGCTGTTTTGATTGGACTAGGGGTATAGCCCCTTCGATCCATATTAGTTGTATTAGTGTCTAGAATCCATCTATGATAAATATAAGAGTATTATAGTCGAAATTGACAAATCCGACTGATAGAGACAAAGATGTCCCGTCTTTCGATGAGATGGTGGTTATCATTTTGGAGGAAGTCGACTTTGACGATCCGACTACAAACGTGCGAGGATGTCGCGTCTTAGCAATCGCTAAACCAACTCCGAGATGTTATTGACCACGCCGAAGCACGATCAACCTGACCGCGAAGATTTGTTTTCTGTAGAAAAACGAAGAACAAGCAAGAAACTAAGATTACACTCTGGATATTGCGAATATAAGAGGAAAACTTTATTGATCAAGGTGGGGTTCTGTGACGCCTTTGTCTGGTCGTTGAACACAAATGAAATACGCGAAGTTTTAGCTATGGCGAACTTTAATCTAAACAAACTCAAAGTCTAAATGATGCCCTAAGGGCTGTATATATGAAGGAGAGAGGAGGGATTTCGTGGCCCTTGGAGAAGGGGTCTGAAACCAACCCTGTCGGGGATATACCCCGCGGTATGACCCGGCCGGAACTTGGCGCTTCATCATAACCCGCCGGAGGATTGGCGACTCACAGGTCTAGCAGTTCACTGGTGTGACGACTCACGAGCCTGGCGACTTAATGATGGCCCCGACGGCGGGTCAGACGAATGACAAGGGCCCAAGGCCCAGTAGGCCGGCTCATGTTATTGTGGGCCGGCTTAAGACGGAATACATGAGGAGTATTTCCTTTACAAGGAAGCAAGACCCGTACTTGTATCCGACTTGTAATAGAGAATAAGTTAGTTCTAATCCTACTAGGACTCTACATGTAAGCCGCCCCTTCAACATATATAAGAAGGGGCAGGGCTCCTCAAAGAGGGACAAGCAAGAAGAAAATAATCTCTAGGGCTAGACACAAAGAGCCGGCTTACCGGCGACTCCCTCATGATCATAATGAGACCTGGCCACAAACAGCATGTAGGGTTATTACCGGATGATGTTTCCCGGGGCCCGAAGCTGTCTAAACCCTTGTCTTGTGTTGCGTCTCTCGATTCCGCTCAACCTCTCTCAAGCTACCACATAGATGCGTTGGCCTCGCGACTAAGTCCTCGCACTAAGGACATCTGCCGTGACAATTTCACGACAGTTGGCGCCCACCACAGGGCCTGCGCACGGTTGTGTTGAGTTCTTGAAGGGATTTCTTCAAAGGATCGAGAAGTTCACAATTTTTTCCGAATGAAGAATAACCGGTTCGAGAGGATATACATCAGCTTGAAGATTATCGGTTTAGATTTGCAATAGGTGAGATTTAAAGTTCAGAAGAAATTAGAGTTGCTCTCGAAGATGAAGCGGCGATCCGTCGAATCCAAGGGTGAGTCGATATCTGCCACAGCGGCCACCCTGCGAGCTGAAACAAAAATCAGCCGCCTCCGTATTGATTTTCAGCGCGGCCTCGTGCCGGCTCTGTTTTTGGTCTCGCCGGTTGTACCCACTCCATCTCGCCCGCGGATTCCGTTCTCCGCTCAGCCGAGTCACGCCCGCTAGTTACGCCCGCCCCTGCTGACGCGGATTCGATCCGGTCTCGCTCCGAGTCGCCTCCGTCTAGAGCCGTTCCCACCGTCACCTCGGTCTCACCTCTGCGCCAAGTCGCCACCGCGAGTTTCCCTCTTCAAGGGGCCCAGATGTGGATCGGTCAGATCGACCACGACTTGGACTCTGCTATCGCTGCTTGAGCAGCGCCTGGCCTCCTGCGCCACCCCGGGCCAGCTCCGCATTGGCCTTGCCATGCTGCCTCCGGGTCAAGCTGACCCCGTGCCGCCTTCACTTGCTACGGTCTGCAAGCTGCCGGCCGCCATTGGGGTTACCTGCCGCTGCTGCTCCCTCGCTTGGTCGCATCGCCGCTGTAGGCCTCCGAGCCATGACAGGTTTCAACTCCTCTTCTGCCCAGGCCACACTCGAGCCGTCCCCAAGCAGAACTCAAGTCGCTGCTGCCTCTACAGCCGCGCCGGCTCGTGCCTCTAAACGACTATGGTCGGATGCTTCTTCTGCGCGTGCCACCTTGGCCTCCTACCGCTGAGCCGCCGCCGGGTCAATCTCTTGCCTTCGAGCCTCTCCGTGTTAAGTCGCTGAGCCGCCGCCGACGGGCTGCCGGCTGCGCTTTGCGCTTCCACCTACGCTGCTGTGGCCCGCGGCTCCGAGGCAAGCTTGCAGTGCTGTTTTTGCTACGTTGAAACAACCGGGTCACCTCTGCCTTTGCTATGGTCCAGCATCGAGCCGTCTCCACTCAATCTCGGTTGAGCCGCCACCAAGTTGAATCACCGTTTAAATTGCCATATCACCTCTCAAGATGATGAAGACCCCTGACGATGTGTTACAATCTTATGGTGTGACTCTAGAAAACATCGAAGATCATCAACTTGATTACTTAAAATATTCATGTGCTGGCATCCGAGCAAGGGCAACAGAAACTAAAATGGCACGCGTCATTGCAAGATGCACTTGGTTCTGATAATGTAAGACTTCAGAGGAAAGCTCTGCAACTCACACAAATACCTACTGAATACCAGGAGAGATAGGAACGTCACTGCAAAAAACAGTCTTCCAGATCAACTTATACATATCGCATCTAGCGACGATGCTAGAATCCAGGAGGCCGCTTAACGTACCTCCGTCGTCGATCCGCCGAAGCCCTGTCGGCCTGCTTGGAGCTTCGTCAGTCTGCCGCTGTTGGCAAGGCTGCCTGCCATTGGGCCGCCCACGGTTTTGAGCCGCCTTGGGTTCGTCCCGCCGCTGCCATGCTCTGTATCTGAAGCCCGTCCACACGAGCTGATTTTTGAGCGCTTCTACTACAGCGGTTTGATAAGACAGAAATGGTAGAAGTAGAGAAGGCAGGATGGCCAAGTCAAATTTAAAAAAATGCTACAGAGTACCTCTGGTTACTCGCTTCAAACATGAAGGAGCGCACGCCGATTGCACAGCCAACCAAAATATCAGGTGCTCTTTGCCCTATCTATTTTCAGTATATATTAAATTGTTTGAGAACAATTACACTGGTATGTGATATTTTTTCGCAGGACCATTATTTATTACAAAGGTGTCACCAAAGAGCGTGCGCCAATATTATTTTTGCGCTAGCACGTTCGCGCCATGTTCTGGATGGATACGTGCGCAAGTCGCCGACCCCGCTACATCAACACACACAACAGACTCGTCGTCCGCATCCGTGGCTGACTCGCCCGCACCCTTGCCGTTTCCAATGCTGCGGCAGACTCTTTCGTGTGTGCCGGCTTACAACACGGGTGCCGACTCTCTCCGTTAGCGCCGGCTTACAATGTCGCGGACAAATCAGGTGAAATCCATCCAGTCAATTTTTATTGATACATTTTATTTTCTTCGAGAACAATTACTCTCGTTTGTCGAGTTTCTTATGCAGAACAATTCTCCATAACAAAAGAGGCCATCAAGCTATGGCCCTTGCCTACACCGGACGGGTCAATGGACATGGTCAATTATAACCCATCGAGGTTCAACATATTCCAGCAATCCACTGGCCATATCATGATCAAGCAAAAAGAGTCTCAAGCCAACTCCTCGAGTAGTCTTAAGACTCGGGGGCTACGATGACATGACTTGGTAAAGCATCGTGAGATTCAAGACCCCGGGTCATTGGGGGGAAGATAACCCGGTCCCGGAGGCTACCGCCATATTGGTAAAAATTTAAAGGTCGTCAAAAAATTTCCGGCTCACAATGATACTTCGGTTTACAACCCGGATCAAGGTAAACCTGTCTCCCACAAAGCTTTGAAGCTCTAAATATCCGGTTTGAACTTCTGGTTTAAAAAGAATTCATCTCTCGCAAGTTCGAGTTTTCAGAAAAATTATAGGGACCAAAGAGAGTTTGTTACACAGCACAACTCAAACACAGGCACCCGGCGAGCATAGCTCAGAAATATATCACTTGGGGGCTTCCGGCTTATTGAGCTAAGCTATGATTACCCTTTAATCTGTCTCATATCCACATTTACAGGTCATTTGGGGGCTTCCTGTTCAAACATAGGTCGTATTCGAACCAAAGAGAACATAGCTGTCGGTACCCTCTTGATCGGCACAATGCCAAACTCACTAGGGGGCTTCTTGACCGTATTCGAATCATAGCTTAACTCCTTTTTGGGTCCGACGTGGATCGTATTCGAATCAGCGTCGTTAAACAACTCTCAAGGTCATTTGGGGGCTTCCTATTCAAACATAGGTCGTATTCGAACCAAATAGAACACAGCTGTCGGTACCCTCTTGATCGGCAATGCCAAAGCCACTGGGGGCTATATGATCGTATTCGAATCTTAGCTTAACCCCTTTGGAACGGTTTTCTGTTCGTATTCGAATCAGAAGCCTCAAAATTTTTGAAGTCTCTTTTTGCAAACAATTTTTTGGATTTTACTTGAGACTTTTTGATCATATCTGAAGCATATATGAGTGGTTTCTATTTAACCCGGCTTGACTTTGGACAATAAGTCGCCAGTATATGACAGTCATAAACATTTCGAGGTTTTGGCTTCTGAAGATTGGGTTATCACCCTTACTGCACAGGTATCATAAGCCGGCAGTATGATTCAATATCACAGGATTTGCAGAACTATGACTTATATTA